AAGACTGCGGCGGGGTCCATGCCCTTCTCCACCATGGTGGGACTGCCCTCCTCGAGGAAAGGCTCGTCCTCGGCGCCTCCACCGCCGCCTCCGCCGGGCTCCCCGCGCCGCTCGGCCCGCTCCACGAAGCTCACCTTCTTCAGCTTCAGCCCGCAGTCCAGCGAGCTCTCCTCCTCCGAGTCCGACTCCCGCCGCTCCTCCTCCTCCTCCTCCTCCTCGGGCACGCCGCAGCCGCCGTTCAGACACTTCTTCTCCCCGCGGGGCCCGTCCGGGGGGCGCTGGGGGTGGCGGCGGGGGGCGAGCAGGCAGAGCAGGGTGTGTGCCAGCTGCCGCAGGCCGCGCAGGTTCAGGTCCCCCCGTCGCAGCCGCTGGTACAGGTGGGGCTGGGACACCTCCCGCACGTTCTGCAGGAACTGCCGCGTGATCAGCAGCGTGGCCAGCATCTGTTGGGGACACGGCTGTCACACGGGGACAGTGGGGGGCATCACCTGCCCCTCCCCGAGGGCTCCTGTCTGTCCTCCCCATCCCTGCAGGGTCCCTGCTCCTCTGGGGTCCCTGTCGTCCCCTCAGCATCCCTGCTCCTCCTGTGGGGTCCCTGCTCCTCCCTGTTGTCCCCACAGGGTTCCTGCTCCTCCCTGTTGTCCCCACAAGGTCCCTGCTCCTCTCTGTTGTCTCTGCAGGGTCCCTGCTCGTCCCATGGGGTCCCTGCTCCTCCCTGTGCTGCCAGAGCAGGACACCTGAAACCTGGTGTCCCCTCTCCTGTGACCTCCCCCGTTGGTGACAACTGATGGGATGGGACCTCAGCAGTGCCACCACCAGCTGGAGCACAGCCAGGGGTGGGGACACTCGTGTCCCTCCCGGGGTGGGGTGCAAGGGGGATGCCCAGCCCCTCCCTCCCCGCTCCTACTTTGGATACTCCCAGTCTCCAGCAAAAGCTCAGGAGGCCCTTAAGGAAGATGAGAGAGAGGTGGAGGTGGAGGAGGATGAAGGGGAGAAGAGCCTCTTTGAGCTGCCGCACGAGGCTTTGGGAGAGAGAGAAGATGAGCAGGAGCTGTGGAAGGGACAGAAGAACAGACAGACACAGACAGAGAGAGGCCGTGAGCGGGACTGGGGACCCCCGGGGGTGGAGCAGCCACGGGGACCCTGGTGGGAGCACAGGGTGGGGGGGACAGCCCGAGAGGGCACAGAGGGATGGTGCCAGGGGGCCAGGGTCGAGGACATCCGTCTGTCCATCCGGGCGGTGCCGGGGGGGCTCGGGCCGGCCCCGGGCACGGCCCCTCACCTCCTTCAGCCGTTCCATGTCTTTGAGGTAGAAACCGATGTAGAAAAGACTCAGGTAGGAATTTACAAACTGAAACTGCAGGAGAAGGGAGGGGAGTGAGCGTGGGGAGGGCACCGGCACCCCTCAGTCCCCTCTGTGTCCCTCAGGGCTACCAGAACCCTTCCAGTCCCCTCTGTCCCCACCCCCTTCCCCCTGAGGTTTCTTGGGACCCCTCCAGACTCCCCCAGTCCCCTCTGTCCCCCACCAAAGGCTGCTGGGACCCCCCCAGCCCCCCATGCCCCCCAGTGTCCCCCTCACCAGGACGATTTTGATGATGAGGTGTTTCTCGTAGGCGCTCTGCAGCCGGTAGTTCTCTGCAAAGCACAAAGGGGGAGGGGTTCAGGGGGCATTCAGGGGGGTGGTCTCAGCTCCCAGCCCTGCCTGGAGCCCCCTCCAGCCCCCCCCACGCACCCATGTCATTGAGCCAGTAGGCCACCTTCTTGTACAGCTCGTCACAGGCGGTGACAATGACAGCCAGGATGATCTTGGGCAGGAAACGGATGATCCGGGGCAGCTCCTGGATGCTCAGCACCAGCTCCTGTGGGAATGGGGACAGGGATGGGACAGGGGCAGGGGCAGGATTGGGGCAGGATGAGGGGCAGGGGCAGGTTTAGGAGCAGGGACACGCAGTGAGGACAGGGAGGGGGACAGGGTCACCACGGAGCAGGTGGCAGCCCGGCAGGGGGGGGACAAGGACCCACCTGGAGCTGGAAGCAGCCGAGCATGAGGAGGAAGACGATGGTGAGGCAGGCGAGGCAGACGGGCAGGCTGACCAGGCACTGGAACAGGAGCCGCTTCCAGGGCGGGTAATAAAACTCCTCAGCACTGGTCACGGGGCTGATCCTCTTAACACCCTGAGTGGGGGGCACGGGGACACAGCGAGCTGTGACCCCTCTCCCCTCTGGGACCCTGGTGCTGGTGGGAGCCCTGGGAACACCCCCAAGCGAGGGACCCCCATTCCCTCACCCTGAACTGGGGCCGAGGTTCCTCGATGGACTCGGGGGGGGTGTCCAGGGTCCCCCACTTGTAGGCGAACTCAGCCCCCCGGCGCTTCCACTCCTCCAGGAACAGGGTGGCCCAGATGACGTTGAAGATGGCAAAGACCACGCAGGAGATGTCCTGGCTGGTCTGAGGGATGGAGGGAACCAACTGCACCGGGGTTGGTCCCCTCCCATCCCCGGCACCCTCCCCAAACCCAGCCCTGCCCACCCCCAGGGGCTTGGGAGCCCCCCCAGCTCAGCAGCCAGGCCAGGACTGAAGGACTGTAGGGAAAATCTGGAGTGAGGAGGGATGGAAACCCACAGGGAGGGGCTCAAAACCCCTGAGAAAGGGTGAAAACTCTGCCGTGACCCACAGGAACCGACCCCATTTCCTGGTCCCCCTCACCTGGTCACTCTCGGTGAAGGTGTAGAGGATGGAGCCGAAGACGGCAGGATACACCATGGCCGAGGTGTAGAAGCCCAGCCAGGCGAAGTACATGGCGATTTTCACCCCAAAATAGTCACAGATGTCATCTGAGGGGGTGGGGGGAAGAACACCAGGGGGGTGTGAGTGGGGCTGGGACCCCCAGACCCCCCTGCCCGTGCCACCCCTCGATGTCTCACCGAGGGGCTGGGCCTCACACACCGCCTGCACCCAGGACTTCATCAGCCGCTTCAGGATCCTCTGCTCGTGCAGCGGGAAAACCTGCTGGATGACACCCCGGGCTGCCAGCTCTGGGACTGCACCCGGGACACGGCGTCAGGGACATGGGGACACTGCCAGTCATCTCCCCCAGAGCCCCCC